TGATGCAAAAGCATGATTTCAAATAGAATAAACCAAATCTACTTGACCATTAGAGTTGATTCAATCACATGTGTTCAAGGACATGAAACACCTTGTAGAAAGTGATAACTATTATTATAAACAATTATTTAGGTGTAACTATGCTTTAAAGAAAGTGAAGTGTGGCAAAGTTGTTGGATCTCATGATATTCCAATAGAGGTGTGAAAATGTTTAGGAGATGAAGGAATTTCTTGGCTTACTAAACTTTTTAATATTATTTTGAGGACTAAAAATATGCTAGATGAGTGGAGAATGAGTGTGTTAATTCCTATTTTTATGAATAAAGATGATGCATAAGATTGTACAAATTATAGAGGAATTAAGTTAATGTGTTGTACTTTAAAACTATGGGAGAAAGTTATGGAGTGTAGGTTGCAGTGTAATACTAATGTTTCTCAAAATCAATTTGGATTCTTGTCGGGTAGGTCTACTATGGAAGCCATACATTTATTAAGAGGTTGGATGGAGAAATATAGAGAGAATAAGTAGGATCTACATATGATATTTATTAATTTATAGAAAGCATATGATAAAGTTCCAAGAGAAGTGCTACAGAGAATTCTTGAAAAAAAGGAGTTAATAATGCTTATATTCAAATTATTAAAGATATGTATGCAGGAGTTATTACTTGTGTTTAAACACAAGTTAGTTTGACCAAGTATTTTCCTATTTCGGTTGGATTACATTAAGGATCAGCCTTAAGGCCATAAATTTTTTGCTTTAGTCATGGTTGTTCTTGCTAGACATTTGCAAGAGGATTTACCTTGGTGTATGCTTTTTGCTGATGATATTCTTCTTGTTGATAAGATTAGAGATAGAGTTCAAGGTAAACTTAAATTATGGAGGTCAACCATAGAGTCTAAAGGTTTTCACTTGAATAGATCTTAAACTGAATATATGGAGTGTAATTTTAGTAGTAATGGATCCAGTGAGGGGATTTTGACATTGGGCAATTAAATCATTAATATGAGTACACATTTTAGATATCTTGGATCTATTGTTCAGAGTGATGTTAAAATAGATGGGGATATTATCAGTAGAATTCAAGTTGGATGGTTGAAGTGGAGGAATGCATCGAGCTTGTTGTGTGATAGAAAAGTGCCCCTCAAACTTAAGGGAAAATTCTATAAGAAGTCGGTGAGACCTACAATGCTTTGTGGTGTCAAATGTTGGACATTAAAATAGAACCATAATACTAAGTTAAGTGTCACAGAGATGAGGATGCTTATGTGGCTTTACACTTAGAGATAGGATACAAAACAAGCATATACGTGGAAAGGTTGGAGTAGCTCTACTGGAAGATAAGATTAGAGAGAGTCTCCTTAGATGGTTTGATCACATAAAATGGTGGCCTCCCGATGACTCGGTTAGGAAAATAGAGGTATTAGATTTGTCTTATGTTAAGAAAGGTAGAGGTAAACCTAAAAGGACTTGGTTAGAAATTATTAAAAATGATCTTTCTTTATTAAATTTAAATGAGAATTTGACTTTTAACAGGTAATAATGGAGAAAAACGATTCATGTAGCCTACCCCACATAGTGGGACAAATGATTCATGATGTTGTTATTATATATTTAATTTATGAAACGGACATCATTAGTCTTCCATACATCATGTCGAGTCAACATTATAATTAAGAATTTATTGCATTTTTTATATTTGATGGTCGTGAAGAATATGTTACTAAGGGGAAATTTCAGGCTTTCTTCTGCTCCATGATTCTTATGGAGTCATTCCCGATGCATTTCTTATTGGTGAATGGTTAAACAAATAAACTACATATGATACTACTTCTGCTCATAATTCCTTTGACAATCTCTTACTTTTGAGCATACTCCTCTCCATGTCAAGGATGATTCTATTCTTCCTTTTCTTTTAAAATGCGTTGAATACTTCTATATTTTGCTTCAAAAAGTATACCCATGTTTTTTGTGAAAATCATTAATGAAGATAAGAAAATAGTTTCTCTTACTAAGTGAGCTTGGCTTTATTGGTCCACAGACATCTATATATATGAGCTCCAATAACTTTCTAGCTCTCAAACTTGATTCTCTTGGAAAACTTTTTCTAAAATGCTTCCCAAGTAGATACGCTTCACATATTTGATCGGAATGCTTGATGCAAGGAAGACCTCTCACCATCTCTTTCTTTAAAAATAGCTTCGGACCTCCAAAGTTGAGATGCCTAAATCGAAGGTATCATAACCAAAAAATATCTTTTTAACAAGATTTGAGGCACTTGGAAACATCATTTTGAAGGTTTAGCAAAACATTCTAGTTCTTGATATTGGCACTTTCACAATTAAAGTGCCAATGTTATCTTTTAAGAGAAGATAATTATTTTTAAATGAATATCATATCCTTTCTCTTAAAGTTGCCCCTAACTTAAAACATTACTCTTCATTTTTGGTGCAAAATAGTCATTGGAAATAAATTGATGATTCCCATTCATCAAGCTATAAGGATGTTAACTTTGTCTTCTACTTCTATTTTTTGAGTCATTTCCGAAGGATACATTGATGCTCATCGATTCATCAAGCTCCACGAACATGCTTCTTTTTTCCCCACATGTGATTTCTTGCTCTAGTGTCTAGGTACCATGTTCCATCTTCGTATCTTTCATTATCTTTGTAAGCTAGCAATAGTATCATCTTATTATCTTTCTTCTTCTACAAAGTTGACTCTTTCGTTGGCTTTATTTTTGGGCACTCTACATTCTTTAGCATAATACCCAAATTTATTACAATTGTAACACTTAACTTTAGATTTCTTGTACATTGAGTTTGAGCACCCTCTTCCACTCCCTCTTGTTGAGTGTTCTCTCTTTCTTGATTGTTGCTAAAATCTTTTTCTTGTTCATTTGCATGACCTCATCCTTGTCCACAACCTTTTCCACAAAAGCTTTTAATGTTCTTGTTGAATCTTTCATATTTCTTGGCTAATTTGAGAACTTTCTTGAGGAATTGTTCGATAATCCTTTCATTCATCTTCTTTTTTTCTTCATAGGCTTGCAAGGAACCCATGAGTTACTCTATTGTCATCTCTTATAAATCTTCTGTCTCCTCGATGATAGTTACTATACTAACAAATCTTGATTTAATGAGCGAAGAATCTTTTCAATAATAGTCACATCTTCTAGCTTCGTACCATTTCTTTTTTGGTTATTAGAAATGGCAAGAACTCTTGAAAAATAATTGGAGACCGCCTCACCTTCTTTCATTTGTAAAGCGTCAAATTGTCTTCTTAACATTTAAAAACGTATCTTTTTAACCTTCTCTTCTCCCTTGTTTGCAGCTTCTCTCAGCTTGCTTAGCTGATGTAGTAGTTGAGATTATCTCAAAGCCAGCATTATCTAATGCTTGATAGATGAGGAAAAGATTCTTCTTGTCTCTCTTTCTTGAATCTCTTAAACTATCCTTATGTGTTAATAATAGAACAGACTCATCCCTTGGCTCATCGTAGCCTTTCTCTATAATCTCCCAAATGTCATGTGCTCAAAGAGCGCCTTCATCTTTATGCTCCAATTATCATAATCTGTTGTCTTGAGCAATAAAACTTGGAAGGAAGCCATACCTCCATTCGCTATATCAAGAAAGGAACATGTCTCTTATGAACTTTTATTTGGTCCGGCGAACGTACGCAACTCTACGTTCGGCCGCCAATAGAACCGCGCCACGCGTTTTCATTATTTACCGCACGCCCCGACAACCCGACCCAAAAAGGACCCAAGATTGCTTGGTATTGCTCAGTATTGCTATGTATTGGTCGAATTTGCTCGGCAATAACCAATACCGAGCAAATACCTAGCAATACCGAGTTGTACCGAGTTGTACCGAGTTTTTTCTAGCAATGCCAAGCAAATACCTAGCAATACCGAGCAAATCCCTAGCAATACCGAGCAAATCCTAAGCAAATACTGAGTTGTACCGAGTTGTATACCGAGTTGTACCGAGTTGTAGGAAAACTCGGTACAACTCGGTATTTGTATATTTTTGGTGTTCACAGAGCGGTATTTCTCATTTTTTCAAAGCAATACCTAGCAAATACCGAGCAAATACTGAGTAATACTGAGAAAATCGCGAACATAGCATTCCCGGGTTCCGCTCCGGGTCAAGTCGTCGGGCCGCGCAGTAAAAACTAAGAGCACGTGGCGACATGTTATTGGCGGTCGAACGTAGCTCTACGTCCGGTCAAAGGACGTAATAATTGTTCGTCTCTTATAGCACTATGTTAGAATGAAAAAGGCTTTTGGAACAAGAGAAGAAAGAAGCTATAAATTTTATTTCTCACTTTTAGTTTGATACAAACTAAAAAATATCACTACTATTTATAATAGTAATGCACCGTTAAGATTATGCCAACATATTTCAATTTATTGGTTACAAATAACTCTCTAAAGCGTTCTCATATCTACTATCATAAATGATATTAAATGTATATTCTAGACTTTTCTAATAATTTTTCCATAATAGATTTCTAGAATTTTTTTCAATAGGTTACTTTAGATTATGGGCTTTAATCAAAAGCCCAAATAAGATTGGGCCAAATTAAGTTTAATTTTCAACAGAGGAAACAAATTGCAGTTGAATACAAAGTAGTGTCATTTGAATAAAATTATTTGGTTCAAGCTCAGACTAATGATAAAAGATTGAAGCCTAACATGCACCGAGAAATGTCTAGAATTATAATGGGCAAACATTAAAAAAAATCTTAGAACAGTTTTGATCCTAACATACAAGTTTTTGTTCCACTTTCTGACAAATATTATAATTTTAAGTACAATAACCATACAATGTGCAATTTGAACACGACTTCTGAGATTCAAAGAGCACTTTTAACAGCCACAAGCTTCGGCTTCAATTAGCTGTTGCCAAAAGCCAGTTGAATATTATCTGAATAGCTTATTCAAGTCAATAAACATCAAATATACATTTACAGATCATATAAATTTTATCAAACATCAATCAGTTATGAATTTATAATAGTCTATATTTGATATTAATCTATCAATTTCTTCAGACCAAGGAATCTGCTCTTTTGCTGCCATTGAGCTCATAGGAGAAGCCCATCCAGCTCTACTAATGTTCCTTCTATCAACTGAGATTCTTTGCTTTCCAGATAGCTTTGAATCAAATAAATCATTTCTCTGTCTGGGCGCACTCTGCGATCTTGATTTCGCCTTCCAGGACTTGGTGTTTGCCATATAATTGGGGAAGAATGGGAATTCCTGAGAGATCAGATAAGATTCTTCTTGATTGGAATTGCCCTCTGAAGAGCTAATTTTTCGAGTTCTCGGAGTAGGTGATGAGTTTTGAGAGCTGTTTCTTGTTGTGAAGAAGGTTTCGGTTTCCTCACGATTTCCTGAGCACATTCCAGTTACAGTTGAAGGAGTTAAGGAAGGTTTGAGATAGTTGAAGAGCTGCCTTCGATCTTTGGTTTCTGTTTGTGCCGTTGGATTGCCCTTTTTGTTCTTTGAATTGGCCTTTTGTTGGCGAAGGCCCCCCTTCTCCATCATCTTGTATGCATCTCTCTCCATATCCTAAATGGATTGTTGATTTCCATTAGACTGATATTTGGGATTTCGATAAGTTAAAAAGAGATCAGTGGTGGATTAATGGAGGAGTTTGGGATAACTCTCCTTTCTTTCTGGTTTGAGAGAGAAGCCATCATATGCATAATATAAAATTTTTATCATTAAATTATCTTATAATTATATATATATTTATATATATAATTTTGCTATTCCTTCTTTTCATGCTCTTTTTTTTTTAATTAGAATATTATAACTTCATACCATAATCTTAATTTAAATTTTAATAAATCTGTTTGTATATTTTTTAAAAAAAATTTGCCACTTGTTTTTTTCAACAAATATTTTAATTAAGAAAATACATAAAATCCCTTCTTGCCAAATGGTTGCTTACACTCACTATCATACTTTTTAAATAAAAGTCGTCCATATATACCAAGTAACTATTTATTTGTGACCAACTATCACTATGTGCATGTTTTAAATAAAGTCCTCTTGCCAAATGACTACATAGATTAAATTAGGAACATATATAAATTTTTATTTTATATTTTAAATAGGCAAATTAAATTATAAAATAAATATTTTTTATTGAAAATAATAAATATTGACATTATACATTACTTATTAGATAAAATAAAAACAAATTGAATTGAAACTTTTCGATAAAGACAATGAAAGTAAAAATGAGCCATAGAATAAGGAGAATCATTCTTGACCAATTTCATATAATAATAACATTATTAATAATAAATTAAGTATGATGATCAGCACTTACATATAACTGTTGGAATTTAGATTCATTGATCATTCTCCTTTGATTAGTTTCCTTGCGTTGCATTGAATGAACTTCTTCAATCATTCTAACTCTCTGAGCTCTAGCTCTTACTTGCACTGTTAGTAAAGCTTGCATGCCTCTAAGAGTAGCTGCAGCTTTTTTCCTCACCAGAAATCCCCTCACCACGGCTTGCAATTTTACCAATCCCTTCAATGCCCTCAATGCCTTTCTAGCCTGTCAAAATTTCTCATTCAATTTTCAAATATGTATGTAAGAAGTAATTACATGTATAGATATTCAATATTTTCATATTCTTTCTTTAATTACACGTCTCTCTCATTTATAAAGCTCTAATAGGCCGGTTGTAAATCGATGAAGTTTTTCTGCTATAAAATGTAATAACTTGTAATAAATAAACCAATTATAATCATTTTAATATCTAATAACTAGAGAGAAATATAATTTCAGAAAATCTAAAAGAATTATATTAGATGTAATATTGATTATGTAGAGAAGATAAAACATATGTAAATATATATAATACATACCAGAAACGATCTGAAACAAGCTTGGATTTTAATAGCTGCAACTTGCTGAATTGTACTGAAGCTTGATTTCCTAGCAGCTGTTTTGGCAATCTCTGGCTTGAAGAAGAAAGATGGTGGAGAAAACTGGCCTTTTGGAGTATGTTTCAGTACTGTTTCAAGCTGAAGGCTTCTCATGCTTTCTCCTTCAGGAGTAGTGGGTGGCGGAGGCGGTGGCGGTGGTGGAAGCTTAAACCATATCTTTCTCTCCATTAATCTTCCTTGATTTTTCTCCTTCTTTCCAGTTAAGAAATTTCTCAGCCATTTCCCAGCTTTCACCATTTTATTTTATTTTATTTTTGTTATTGGTAAGGAAAAGGAATCGAATTGAAGGAATTTAGAGAGCTTAAAATTACGTTTTGCACTTTTGTTTGTTTGAATTTATATCTGAAGTTTGGGATTACAGAAGGAAGAGAAGAGGATGGAGGGGGGATAGATGAAGAAAATGGATATTAAATGTAAGAGCTTCTTTCCAAGCTTCCATTTGTCAGTATTAGGAAGAATAATTCCAAATTAGCACTGCAACTAGAAAGCTAAGAAAAAATTTCAGGCTAATTCAAATTTGACCAAGATGATAAGAGTTGATTGATTATAATATCAAAATGAATTTAATGATAAAAAACTCATCCTGATCACATTTGGATCAGAATATTTTGAGTTAAATTTAATAAAAAAAAATACCTAAAAAGATGGAGTCATACAGATTATTATTTAAAAATCGAAAGCTAATAATAACAAACAGAAAATTCAATTCTTGTGATTTTCATGATTCTTTAATTGAATTTTTTTTTTTTTTTGGGGTACTGATTTGATGCTGAACCAGACATGCATGAAAAGTCAGCAAAGGAAATGAGGGAAATTTTCAAAGGATGGTGATAGTATTTTTTTTCTTTTATGACGATACTTTTCCGATTATTGTATGTTTTTGGTGATGATACTTTTGAACTACTTTTAATTTAAATTTTGGATGGAGAGGGATTTGCAGGTAAATGTACTTGTTTAAGAATGGCAAGAAAAAAAATTATGTGGAATAAATAGTAAAAGGGAGGAATAAGAGAGAGAAAGGATGAGCAACCAAATTATCAAAATTAACAATTAAGAAAATGTGCTCAACATAATTAAAAAAAATGGAAGAGAGAGAAAGGGAGACCATGATATTATAATTTTTTTATTTAAATGATAAAATTTATTGCATAGGATTAGGGGTGGATCTAGAAAATTTTCTATGAGACACTATAAGAGAAGTATAAAGTAAGCATAAATATCATAGCTCCATATCTCCTAATTTTTTGATACATAATTAAATTAAGCTTTAAAATATTTTAAACTAAATATAGTTTTTAATTAGTTTAGTATTATTGCCTTAAATGAGTTACGAATAGCATTGTATGAAGATACAACACGTACATGTCTAAATAAGAGAATAAGTTGAATGAGAAAGTAAAAATTTTACCTGAAATATTCAAAAATAAAAAACAATAGGCATGCCCAAGTTAAAATGATTCCACTAATATTTGTCATCAATTACAAATGACATTCTTCCTCGAAGGAAGATGTTGATGCAATGTAACAAACATATAATGTAAATAACATATTACGTAATTGAAGTTAGATGAGCCTTGAGTATGAAGTTGTCTTTAAAAATTCATTTATAGCCACACTCTTTTATGGTGGTGAAATCAAAGAACAATAAGTCCAACATCCATGCTAGTTTTAACATGGAGATTCATAGTAATATCAATAATTAATCTTATACGAAATATAGTACGCGCATTGACATTGTTGGTGATAGTAGTGATAGAGTTAATGAGCTTTGGTGTAGCCAAGAGAAATGGCTAGAGGGCCATAGTCCAATGACGGTAATCGAAGGACCATAGCTCGACGACAATGGTCGGAGGACCGTAATTGAGCAATAACGATCAAATGATCGTAGTTAAGTGACGATGATTGGAAGATTGTAGTCGAATGATGATATCTAGAGAATTATAGTTAAGTTGTAGTAGTTAGAGGATAGTAGTTGAGTGATAGCAATATGAGGAACTTAGTCCAACATCCATGATTAGAAGATTGTAGCTGGCAGAAGGTGGCCAAGGGACTATACTCTGACCTATAGTAAATGATTTCTCTAATGTTTATCCTTAAGTATTGGTAATCTTACTGCCCCATAGAGAAATTTTATATTGAGGTGTTTCCTGGTACTTGTCCAATTTCTAAAGCTCCATATTGTATGTTACCTAAAGAATTATAAAAATTGAGGGGTTTTGTTAGACCCAGTGTTTCCCTGTAGGGTGCACATGTGCTTTTTTTGGAAAAAAAAAAAGATGCAATAATAAAATGCACATTAACTATAAAGAACTAAATAAGATATATGTTGCCTAGCATTGACTACGTGTTTGACCAATTAGAAGCTGCATTTATATTCTCTAAGATAGACTTAAGGTCAGAGTACCACTAGTTGAAAGTGTAGGAGGAGGATGTGGCAAAGGCTACTTTTAACTCCAATATGTCTACTATGAATTCTTAGTCATGCCTTTTGGGGTGATTAATGCACCCTCCATATTTATGGATCTGATGAACAAAATATTTAAAACATATCTAGATCAATTTATGATTATTTTTATCAATGAATATCAAACAGTCCATTTGAGAATTATATTAGAGATATTGAGGCAACATAGATTATATGCAAAACTTTTAAAGTGAGAATTATGGTTAAAAGTATCACTTGTCTAGGTCATATTATAAACAATAATGGAATATCTATAAATCCGTAGAAAATGTGAGCTATTATAAATTGGCCAAGACCTACAACTATTTCTAAAGTGCATAGCTTTTTGGGTATGGTAGGTTCTTATAGGAAATTTATAAAAGGCTTCTAACAAATTGTAATTGCTTTGCATAGATTGACACATAAAGTAGTGCCATTTTAATGGACATCTAAGTATGAAAATAGTTTAATTTTTTTTTAAATTAAAGAATCATCTAGTAACATCTTATGTTATAATTATTTTTCTCTAGTATAGAAGGATGTTAGGTGTTCAATGATGAAACATTAAAGGGTGTGTAATGATGCATCACAGTAAAGTTATTACTTATGTCACTAGGTCGTTAAAGCCACATTAAAAATAAACTATCTTGTCACTATAATATCTATTGTTCTAGGATCTAGCAAGTTAATCAAGCTAATTTGAGATGAACCCTTGTTTAATTTTGATTAAATCATGAAATATAAGTTCTATATTATTTAACTATCATTAACTAAGATTAGAATTGGAATGAAAAGAGAAATTCATAAGTGAAATAATATTCCTTAGAATGTTACAACACTCTTAGTGGCAGGAGTGTGGAATTGTTCTCTCTATTTAGGAGGAGAATTTGAAGGAGCATTGTGGTAATGGATGTTTCCATCACATCATTCAGCTCTATATTTAGGGGAATCTAAAAGAATCTAGAATGTTCTATTTGAGCATATGATTATTGAGGAAGTGGGCATCACTGTGCTAGGTCAAAAAAATGATATTTTTAAAATAAAAATCTAAAATCATTCCCCCCACCCCCCTGGCACCTCCCCCACCCCATCAATTTTTAGAGAAAAAGAAGTGAAGAAAGAGGAGAGAGAAAAGGAGGGAAATTTGGATGTTGCGGGGTTGAATTTGTTCATCATTCTAGTTAAGGATTTTATTGAGCATGAGATAGTGTTCTAAAAACCTATATTTGATTTTAATTATAATAAGTTTATCTCAAGATATAGATAAAAAATAAATTTTTTGTAGGATTTAATAAACTTCCACTTTATAACTTTTAATATGTATAAAATACATCATTTTAAGTATTTTGATAGTAAGAAATCAAAATTTTACTAGTTTGTTTTCTTTGTATAAATTTATGTGAATATTAGTAGAATGTGGTATTTTTAATATTAGTAGTAATTTGATAAAAGCCTTAAATTGATGATATGAACATTTTTCTGAAATAATATCTAAAAAATGTAATATTATGTGAGTGGGCATTTTATACCCACATTGACACCTGAGTGTTGTATATCTAGCATTAATGCATCAACATCATCATGTTTAATATTATAATCATTCCTTAAATTATTTAAGTTTCATTCACAAAGCATAATATATGGAGGAGATTCTCATAATGAAAATTATCAAAAATGCACTATTTGTAATGTTAAAATGGCCCTATATGTTCTGTTCTAGCCCCATCTTCCTTTTGTCTATGTGGGAGGGATTCTGACCCCACTTGTTACATGCGAGTCTGAGAAGTTTTCTATTTTGATTCTAGCCCCACTTGTTGTATTCTATTGCAAGAGGGTTAGAAAGAGTCATAAGTGAAAGTAGATTTATAAGTAGGCATAAGGACATATGCATAATATATTACTACATTACATATTCTAGTATGTCAATGAATTAAGTATAAATAATATTTTGATAACACTAAAACTTCTATGTATATTATGATACATCAAGTAAATTCAACTGCAAGTAGAATTCTAATGGAAAGCATATCATGATATCTCCCTCTATAAAGTCTATTTATGAAATTAGAAGTAATGACTCTATAAATAAGTACACTCTAATAATTCTATGAAAGTATATATATGAAAAGTATAAATAAAATGTTATGTTTAAAGATTGATAGTGATGTCTAAATTGATATTCTGAAACCCAAACATATTAAAATTTTATATAAATTACTTTTTGCTAACACTTAATTTATACTCTATTAATTAACCAAATATTTGAATGATTCACTATTTATATTTTAATGGATATTGGTATCTATGATGGAAATGTGGATAAATTCCACTGAGCGAGTGGTGCTCATTCTGTGAAGTTTTTATGATATTTCAAAAAAAATGAAGAAGGCCCAATGGAGTAGAGTGATAAGTGCAAGATCATCTGAATCGGGTTTTCTGAGGTATTATGTAATCTAATTTTTATTTCTATGATGTATAGAATTTATACTAATTAGGTAATTACATATGATTTTGGAGAAATAAATTTTTGATGATAGTATCGAATATTTATTTATGTGTTTATTTATTTAGTATCCTATGTTATATTATGTATTGTGGTTGAATAATGATAATGATAATAATAATAATGTTTATTATTATTATTATTATTAGAGATTTAATTCTTTCCTTAGATCTTGGGGCATAACACTCACGATCCTAAAATGATGATTATTATATTTGCCTTAAAAATATGACTGCACTATCTATATGGAGTTTGAAGTGAAACTTTCACAAATCAGTAGAGTATGAAATA